TCGCAACAATTTTTAATATAAAGTTTTGCAACACTAGAAAGTATTTCCCCGACTTTGATCCTTGCAAATTGCGAGAGTATAAAATGTTTAGTTACACTCGAACTTAGCCCTTCTTTACTTGTTGTTCTTATTTTTTATTTTTATTTAAATTAAAAATTTTTTTTTGTATTTTTAATGTTTATTTTTATTATTTTTTTTTAATATTTATTTTTTATTATTCAATTATATTTTCATTCATTCATTATGTTTTTGCTTTAATTGTTGTGTTTGTCAGCTAATTCAAAATTTTCCGCACTTATTCACTTATTTAGTAATTACTAAATTAATTAAAAAACATATGTAACTCCTCTTTATTCATTCAGCAACAACCGCTCCACTCGCTGTGGATGTGCCTGAGACCTCTTATTCCAGCAGCGAAGATGAGGAAGATTTCTATGATGCAAATGATGATCCATTTACTAGTATGGGAAATTCGCCGAGCTAGTAAGTATAAATAAAATATTAGTCAACGATAAGTAATTTGACTTTTTAGGGATTTTTAGGGTAGTACACTTTTATGAAAATATATAAATATTGGTGCAAACTAATCAAGTCGTTAGTGCCCTCCTTAGATTACACACAATAAAAATTATGACCATAGCTCATATGGTTGACAGATAGGACCCAGCGAAGAGATAAACGGACATTGCTATTCACAATTGAGACATTGAGCTTATCAGTTTTTACGTTAACCCGACTACTACGTATTGCTCATCGATTTATATCCGATTTAGGTCGCTTTGTTGTTATTATTGTATTTTAATTGCGTCAGAAAAAATGTTTCCAAATAGGTTTGAGGAACTGCTTCTGATTGTCGTGGAATTAGGGCTGTAGCAATCTTCTCTTAAACTCTTTCGCAAATGTTTATTATTATTAACTGCCGAACCTCTAAATATCAAACAGCGTCATATGTTCGTCAGGAATTAGATTTAGATGAACGTGGTCGATGTTATATTAGCTAAATGTCCATCTCTATCTTCTTAAAACCACTTATCTTGGCTTTTCTCTTGTATATTTCGGTACAAAGATTTCCTTTTACTTTTATTGTGGAATTATTTAAATTTAGTGCTTAAGAAAAAAATTGTTGCATACGGGAAGTCGCTATTCAAAACCAATAATACAAAATAATATAATTTCATATAATAATTGTCAAAATTTTATTATTATAACCTGAGCAGGGTATATTAAGTTTGCCACAAAATTCTTAAACATCGGAGACCTTAAACATGGCGAGCTCAGTCGATTTAACCACAGCCTATCCGTATCTATGCAAACTAGTCCCTAGTTTTTGAGATACCAATCTGAAATTTTGCACACGTACCTTTCTTTCCAAGAAGCTGCTTCTTTGTCGAAACCACCGATGTCGAAGCAGTACAGAAGCTTCCATATAAACTGAACTACCTAAAATCATGTCCTTAAATGAAAAACTTTTTCATTTGATGTGATATCTTCACGAAATTTTGCATAGACTACACTACTTTCGCATTACTATAGCATATAGCTGCCATGCAAACTGACCAATCGAGTTCTTGTATGAAAATTTTTTTATTTGTAACTTTTGTACTTGTGAAGAATATTATAGCTTCGGTGCAACCGAAGTTAACGTTTTTTTTTTGTTTATTTTTTTTTATTAAATTTTACTATCGTGTTACTAGTTTTTGCTCTACTCTCTTCTCTCAATTAAATAGTTTATCGGTTTAAAGCCGCCTCTAACCCGCTGCTGTATTTTTATTAGCACCGTTTTTATTGCCAAAATTTATCAAAGGCTTGGCATTGTCTGTTGAAGTATGCATCGCTGTTGTTGATTTGTCATATCGAATTTTTCCGCAACACACAGTTGACCCGCTACCCACCAAGCGGCAGCCACAGGCGCACTAACCCTTTCGGCTACAGCGGTCTCTTCATATCTACTTCATATGAACATTTTCTATTTCCCTCCGAGCAATTGCAAACGTTGATTGATTTGTGTGTGTTTTATTTTTTATTTTTTTTGTATTTATCAGGTTTATGTAGCTTTTACGTGCAAGGACATGCAAATGAAATCGATAGACTTGTAATTGAAATTTCATACCTAAATGCACCGGCTTGGAATAATTTTTATGTTTTTTTTTTTGCTGCTGTTTCTAATGCTCTTTATTTCGTTTTCTCATGTACTGACATGAGACACACTCACATTGTATGAGATGAGTCTCATTTATAGTATCATTAATAATTTCGTATTTTCGCCTACTTTTTGTAAGCATCTATAATTAACCGTACTCTCGAGTGGAATGACTGAACGAGTGTCGGCTGCCCATAAAAGATATGCTGATGAATGCCCGCACACAATAGAAAAATGCACAATTTTATTGCAACGCAGTTGTCTCGAAGCTTTGCAGCGGATTGTCTTGCATATTTCGACCCTAAAAAGCATGCAAAAAGCAACAACAACAAAGAAAATATAATTTTGAATTAAAAGTTGAATGTGAATTTCACCTCCAACAATTGTGATTCGCATGAGTTTACGTAATGTCGAGCGCACTTCGGCGGCTCCAGTAGACGACGAAAGTTGTGAGTAAGTGGAAAATTAAAATTGACGAAAAGAGTACAAAAAGTATAAAAAGTACAAGTACAAAAAAATGTAAACGAATTAAATTTTAAGAAAAATGAGTTTGAGTTAAAATAAAAAAATGTCCGATTTACTATTGACCACTATACTATATAATCTATATGTAAATATGTATATATATAATATATATGTAAATCTGTATATGTGTATGTGTATTTGTGGCGAATTCGTTGACATTGAAAATCCACTTGATTTATGGTTTAATTGATTGTTTGCCGTAATGCCGGTGCACCGACAATACCGTTACACCGACCGCCTAGCCTCGACATTAACTTTAACTCTGGTGGCAAGTTCAAGGTCGCGCTCAGCCAACCACAAAGTCGCACCAGAAGTGCTCTAGCGGAAGTTATAATGTCACGCTTATAATATCCGCAGCGTAAAATAGCTAAAATTGCGCATATTATGCTCAAAACTGTGCGCGTATTAATCAGATGTACGGCATAAGCCAGCTGTTATAGATATGGCAGCGTCAAAAGCACAATTAACGCACACCAAAGCGGTTACGAGCATAGTAAGTAACCACAAGCGCTTCCCAGTTACTCGTTATTAAGCACTTGAGGCGTCTTTAAAGATATCTCTATGTATGTATATGTGCGTGTTTATATCCATATCTCAATAATGTAGCCAAAGTGCCGCGTTGTTTTCACTATCTTTTGCTTTTGTGGGTGTGTAAATGTCGTAATATTTGTAAGCAAATAACAATAAAACATTTTTGTTTTAATTTAGTATTTTGATTTTTTGTTTTTGCTTACTCTTTTTTTTTTTGCTGGATTCGCGGTCTTTTGTGTAAATTTTGCGTTTTGTTATGTTTATATTTTAACTATTTCTACTATCCATACAGCTGTCGTGGTGTGTGTGTGTGTGGAAGTAAGTAGTAGAGAGCACACGATGAGTTCTCTCTTAGCTTTTTGTATTGCTGAACCTGGCATCCGTTCTGATGACATGCGCTTTAACTGTTATTTTGCTCCCATGAACTGAAAGTGTTTAATTTTCTCAGACTTTCTTACTTGAGGCGATTATTTTAAAGTAGCTAGGGGATTGCTATGTGAAATATACATACATGTGTGTGTATATTTTTAAAAAACAAAATGTTTGAGAGTTTCTCCCTCTCCCTCTACAATGTCCGTCTTGACGCTATCTTGACTGATGGATTTTCACGTGAGGATTTTGAGATTCAAAATTTCGTTATCGAGAAACTCATTTGATTATTACCATGTATGTAGAGTCATCACATATATTTTTGAGAAACTTAAGTGGTTCAGCTATCCTCTGATTTACGATTTCTCGTAGTTTACAAAATGTTTCAGAAACAAGCTTAGTTTGGTCTTATTTCTTTCTTCAAGTGTGAGCTGCCGGTTTTCTCGTTTCGTAAGTTGACTTCGATCGTAAAAAAATCTAAAATCGACATTCCATCCCTGTTCTTTTTTTTTAGATACAGAAAGATTTACTGCTTCATTCTACCGCTTCGGCTGAATTATCTTTATATACTCTCTTTTCGTGTCGTTCACATTACGATATCCAATGGTCGATTTCTTCCGATTCAGAAAATTTTGCTAAATCACCGATTTTGAAAATTTTTCTTTGAGTTCGCAAACTTTTATCGATTTATCTGCAGTAGTTAATGAGAAAATAATTTTACAATTTTATTGTGCTCTAAAATTCAACATTCAATATGATTAACAAAAAAAATATGAATCGTGAAGAAATATTTACATATACGAATATCACGGGGTGTCCGTCAGGTCGCACATGTAATGAAGTGCTAATTTTCATAATCGGTGATTTAGCGAAATTTTCAGGGCCCACTCATATGACTTGTCCGAAATCTCGCTTTATAATAAACGATTTGGCGTGGTCGCTTCTAATAAAGGTTAGGTTGTTAAATAAGAGTTAAAGTCTAATCGCGATGACTTAAATTCCAAAAAAACCCGCTTGCCGGTCAAAAGCGACTTTATTTTTTATTTCTCTAAAAACTCAAGAGCACTCTTAAATTAAAACTTGTATTCTCATTCTCATGAAAATGCATTAAATCAAAAATTTCACCGTAAGTGAGTTGTCACATAGCTTATTGAAAGATTAAAGGATTTCATCTCGTACGTTGTAAATACAAAATTCAATATCTAAAATCCTCCAGACTTGACGCCGCATTATTAACATCTCAACGTCATAATTTTAGACATCTCTTTACTCTTTCATTTCGCTCTCTCATTATTCTCACATATGTATGTTTGCTCTCTTACACTTGACTGCCGGCGGCTCCTAAAAGTATGCATGTTAACTGAAGTGTACTCTAAAATGTTACATGCGCCCTGCACGCTCACATCCTACTCGACCCAACTGTGCGGTAACTATTTTAACGACAGCCAGTAGTGCCTCGGCTTTGCTCAAGTATCGACTGTGTTTACTTTAGCAAATAAAACAACGAAAAACCGCAATTTTTTTTTGCTTTTAAAAAAATCGACATAAATTATTTGCCATACAAAATTTACAAACAAATAATTTTTACAAGTTGGCTTTGTATTGGTTCTACCGTTAAACTGCTGGAGTGGGTCAAAGTTAATGTGACCCGAAAAAGAAAGGTTTTGTGTCAAATTCGATCGAAAAGCACAACAAAAACACAAAACTCGATAAAACCATCGAAAAATTGTCGTTGAAATTTGGCATGTTTTCAAGTGGAAATGACGCATCTCTGTGGCAGATGACGTTGCCGTTTGTTGCCGTCCGCTTGGCGCTCGCCATTGTGTTTTAATGCAATAGAGATTTGATTGTTTGTTTGTGCAATGTATCGAATATTTCATTGTACAGAGCATATTCGAGTCGTTTTGAGTATGCAATAAATTAAATTGAGCGCAAACGTTCATGCGCCTAGAATTATGCAAGACATTATTGCTGGCGTTTAATGGCATTGGGTCGTGTATTAATTGCCGGTCGACACAGATTCGTCATAGCGGGACTCAATATTTAATACGAGCAAACAAAAAAAAAACACAACACACTCGCATACACGCAACGGTACATTACTCGCCATTGTGACTGCCACACAGTCACGCATCGCGCTACACACGCATTTAAGCGCACAGCAGCCGTGACGAGGACTTATATGTGTGACACGCACACACACGCACACAAAATACGGTTTACGACAGATTTACGCGCGACACACACACACACACACACTTACGCGGTACTTAAGGCAATGCAGCAGCAGTCATTCGCTGCGACAGCCAGTTAGCCAGCCAGTCAGTTGTGCCATCAGTCACTGAGCCATCTAAAGCTTCTTGACTTATTCGCCGCAAATATTTGCACGCACAGCTTGCAAGGCATTCTGTGTCCTAGTGTGTGTGTGTGTCCTCCTAGTATACTATATACAGGGGGTCTTGAAGTGAGTGGACATGTTCAAGAAATGGGTGCGACGTGTCAGTTTCAGGTACGTGCGGGAATTTCAGTTCATGCGAACGCTGTGTTCAAGCATGTTTTATAGTTTCCTGCATCTATTTCATATGTCTGTTTGTATGCACATATTTATTATAGTCGTCCTTCACTCGTTTACTTTACTATCACGGTACTTTGGTGCCTTTGTTGGCACAAATCAGTGTTTTGTTACATCATTTTACAGTTCCATAAATATTTAATGGCTATGCGAGGGTATTTAGCCGCATTCATAGCATGAGGGTGGTACAATGATGCCTTGGGGATGGGGATTGATATATCTCAAAAAGTATGAATATCTGATAACGAAAAAGAGCTGAGTGGTTTTGTAGGTTAAAATATTTCGTAAAATTATTTCTTGTCAGTACTGAAGTGTAAAAAAATCTCCAACGACGTTGAATTGCTTTCAATTCTTAAAAAATGTATAAATTAATAAAACATTTTGTTTCTAATAGTATTTAATTACAAATACACATATTTTAAGAAAATTTTAAATTTTACTAAAGTAAAATTAAATGTATAATTGAAGAGGAAATGTACATATGTTTCGAGATTTGGAATGATTTAAAAAATAATATAAATTCAAAAATATGGTAAAAAATAATATAAATTCAAAAATATGGTATGAAAAAAATTAGAATTTACCAAGAAAATAATAATGCGAAAAATTTATTTGCATAAAGTTAAAAAGTTACTAAAAAATTGAGAAACCCTTAAAAATGGTCTTATAAAGCTATTGTTTGTTGAATAAAATTTTTTATGTTTAAATTTTTTGGTTACTTTAAGAAACTGCCTCTTATAATAAGAAATTATAAAATGATAGTGGCAAAATAAAATATAACAAGCAAGAAGCAAGTAAGCGCTAAGTTCGGGTGTAACCGAACATTTTATACTGACGCAACTTGCAATAATCAAAGCCGGGGAAAATTCGTTTCGAATTTTCGGTAAAAAGTTCGCAATAGAAACTGGCGTCCACATATTCGGTATGTGGGGCGTAAATAGTTTTGGTCCGATTTGGACAGTTTTTGGTTATAAGGTGGCCCACCTTCGTGTAAAGTTGGCCACACCCACTTTAAAAAAAAAAAATTGCAACCATACATGCTCCTCCCTAATGCAATTCGTTGTACTAAATAACAGCCTTGTGTATTATTGTGGATGTTAGTTATAGCACTTTATTGCTTTTCGTTTAATGGTGTTTTATGGGCGTGTCAATGGTCCGAATCGGCCCATCTGCAATATCAACCCCCCAGGGAATATGTGTACCCAGTTTAATAAAGATATTTCAATTTTTACTCTAGTTATCGCTTGCACGGACGGACAGACAGACAGTCAGTCAGAATGAAATTCGTCTCGTCACTCTGATAATTTTTATTATTTATTTATTTTTAATATAAATATAAAGTATTTCCGTTATATTATAATGTCAACTCTATTTACTTTAACTTCACAGCGCCACGCGTGGCTTTTCCGTGGAAACCACATCGCCAACCTATGAAAATGCACCGGAAACACAAACACAAAAAGGTAGCGCCTCAGCCAGCGCCAAGTCTTCGATTGTCGATCGTCTGGATGATTACCAAACAGCCTTGACAACGGTATCAGAGATATTACCCGCTGGCACGCCGACAAGCGCTACAGCGTCGACTCCGCAACCGTTAAGTGGCGCTAAAACATTCCAAAAATACGGCGATGATGACGGTTCCATCGATTATGATGCACTGTATGAAGAGGAGGAGGACTCCACGATCAGCATGGAGGCGCATGGTTCAATGATTTCACATCTCATATCGCAAGTGAAGATCGGTATGGACCTGACGAAGGTCGTGCTACCCACTTTCATCTTGGAACGGCGCTCATTGCTAGAGATGTACGCTGATTACTTTGCACATCCAGATCTCTTTCTACGGTATGTTCAAAGCAGTATGAATTGTGTATGTGTGAATAATTGTATTTTTTTGCTTTTCGCAGAATTGCTGAGATGGAGTCACCACGTGAACGCATTGTGGAGACATGTCGCTGGTATTTGAGTGCCTATCACGCTGGTCGTAAGAGTGCGGTGGCCAAAAAACCATACAATCCCATATTGGGCGAGGTGTTTCAATGCTATTGGGATTTACCAGGTGAGAAGGACTTTCGTCTTTAAAGCATTGTATCAAGCTCGGCTTAGTGTACGTTTCCACAATCTCTAAGCCCATTTCCAAAACAGTTGAGTCTGTGTAATCGAAACTGACTCAGATTTTTATGCGCGCAAGAATTTTTCACTTGACATCATTACTCAAAATTATATGAGAAATGTATTTTCTATCACTACAACAACAACCGATGAAGTGGTTTGAATCTCGAACTTGAATTTCACCTATCATTGCATACCAATTTTTACTGAACAGTTTGCTAAATAATCCCTGCTTTTTCAGGCGAAACATCCGATGAGCAAGTAGTTAATGATGGACCTGTGCCCTGGTGTCATCGCAATCAGCTGACGTTCTTAGCCGAACAGGTTTCACATCATCCGCCAAGTGCGTATTAAATATATATAAATCTTGTGTGGTAAACAAACAAAAAAATTGTTGCCAACTATTTGTTGCAGTTTCCGCCTTCTATGCTGAGCATGTTAATAAGAAAATTACGTTTTCCGCGCACGTTTGGACCAAATCGAAATTTTTGGGCCTTTCAATTGGCGTACACAATATTGGTGAAGGTATTGTGACGCTGGTGGATCACAGTGAGGAATACATTGTCACGTTTCCGAATGGCTATGGCAGGTATGCATTCATTTAAATATGAAAATATTCACATTGCACCTATTTTTATATACTACTTTTCCCGTTAGATCTATTTTAACCGTCCCTTGGATCGAATTGGGTGGCACCGTCGAAATACGTTGCCCGCAAACCGGTTATCACGCCACAATTGAGTTCTTAACCAAGCCATTTTATGGTGGCAAGCGCAACAAAGTGACGGCTGAGGTGTGTACATATTTAAAAAAAATATATATATATATAATTCTTATGCTAACTGTTTTATCTACTTCCATTCAATGCAGATTTATGCGCCCAATGAGAAGAAACCGTTTGTTTCGATAGCGGGCGAGTGGAGCGGCCTCATGGAAGCCAAATGGCACGATAAAAATGTAATTTTTACTCTTTTACGTTTGTGCAACAACAGTTTATTTAAGTTTTTTGTACCTTTCAGTATGCTTGTGTAATTTTATTAACCGAAATTTGTAATGCTAAACATTTCCTAATCACACCTAATTTCTCTCTATATGTTTATAACTAAGTTTTCATACATGTCTGCAAACAGTAACCTACAAACGTTCAATCTCTCTCTCTCAACTCAACAAATCACTTCGTCCTAACCTCAAAACAAAACAAAACTACACCAAAACGATTATTGTACTTCTCTCTTAAATATTTTGAGCCAGTTACTATTCCAGTTTACTTTGTTTATCTAGAAAATTAAATTTCTACTAAGTACCGTTATTTGTTTTACTCTCTACTGCATTGTTTTTCTGTATAAATTTGTGTGTATTTTATTTGTTACTAAAAATTTGTCCTAAACTAAGCCAAATTCAAACTAACAAAAACTCTACAGTATATATATATATATAGGTATATATAGTTACATATGTACATGCATATGTTTGTGCATATACGTGTATGTGTTTGTTGTGTTCAGTTTATGTGTAAAGACAATTTGTTAAACTGCAAAATTTTAAACATGCAAAAATGTTTAATTTTTAATTTTCTAGAAAACTGAAGTATTCGTAGACGTAAATCGTATTCCAATATTTAAGAAACAAGTTCGACCAATCGTTGAACAAGAAGAATATGAATCCAGACGCGTTTGGAAGGAAGTGACCGCTGGACTCAAGTAAAACAAAATTTTCATACTATTTTACTGTTATATGAATTTAAGTTTTTTTTTTTTATTTTTGTTGAAAATTTTCAACTAAACATTTTTTTTAACTCTTCATAGATTTAATGACATCGAAAAGGCCACAAATGCTAAATGTGCCGTGGAACAAATACAACGTGATGAAGCGAAGAATCGCAAAGACACAGAAACACAGTGGGAACACAAGGTGAGTGCATGCAAATAAATAGTTGTGGCATTGCATAAATCAAAATTTCAAAATTTTACTATTTTGAAAATGTAAATTTACGCATTTTAACCTTTAAAGTAAACAGAAAAACTAAATTATGAAAATAATTCGTATAATAAACATTTTAATATTAAATTAAATTACGTCATTTACCTAAGACCCTGATCTATAAGAGAATTCGCTGTAGCCGTTACAGCAACAACAATTAGCATAAAATTAATTTTGAAACCCTAATAAGGTTTAGGTAAATTTAATCTTTTTACAACAACAACAAAAAATAAACAAGTAAGGAAGAGCTTGCAACTTGCCAGGATCAAAGTCAGGGAAGCTTAAGGTGCATACGGTTTGTTAGAACAAAGAAAACCAATATATGTAGTATATGATAGTTTGGGTTATTTGTGAACCAATTTCACGTATTTTCGGCATTAAACTATATTATATCCAATATTATACTTCCAGCAAATTTTTCTAAGGTATCTTACTTATTTGCTGAAATATGCGATATAAAGTCAGCCAGTAGTTCGAAAATCATTCTATTAGGTATATGGGGACTAAAGGAATTATCGACCCGATACAACTCATTATTTAATACAGGCATATTATTTTTATCAGAAAAGGATTCTCTTCAAATTTCTATAACATATCTCACAGATTGACCGATATTTTCGATAAAACGCTCGCTGTGGGAACTGGGGTCCACATATTCAATACATGGGGGGTGGAATAGTTTTATTCCGATGTAGACAATTTTTGGTATAACGTCGCCCAACTCAAAGGCACTATTCATGCAAAGTTTTATTTCGATACATTCATTGGTGCTTGATTTGCATACTGGAAAGTGAAAGAATCAGATGGAATTTAAAATTGTGTTATGTGGGAATTAGGCGTGGTTATAGTCCGATTTCCCCCATTTTCGCACTATAACATACAGAAATATGAGAATAATGTCACGTACCGAATTTGGTGGGAATCGGTTAAGCAGATCCCAAGATATGGGTTTTCACTTAAAAGAGGGCGGTGTCACACCCACTGTCTCATTTTGAACGCGGTTCCTATAAAGTCATCTCATAACATCTCAGGTATAAAATTTAATGTCCCCGGCGTATTTAGTGCTTGATTTATCGCGCTTTTAGTAGTTTTTAACAGTACCGTTATATGGGGTGTGGGTGGAGTAGCCACCAGATTTCACCCCACACTGTCGATAGAGGTGCTGAAAGCATTTGTTCTCAGTGAATTTTGTTATTATAGCTTCAGCGGATATGCACATTAAACCTATTAGGGGACGGTACCACGCCCACTTCTTTAGTTTTAGGTGATACAAACAAACGTTAGGTCAACAAAACTATTAAACTCTGTGGCAATATTTTGCTAGAGTATAAAAATTAAGCTCTCTTTAAGCTCGCATTACACTGTCTCAATGTAGTATTTTCATAGGCACCTAACATCTACAGCACATATATGTATGTATATGTATATACATATGTACATGTTTAATGCATATGAAGAAAACCTGTGAGGCAATAACCATCCTTCATTCCCGCATGTCACTTCCAACTAAATATCTTCTCCATAATTTGCAACGCTGTTAATATAACGGGGTTTCTCGACTTTTCGTTAGTTGAGCTAGACTTTAAACCCCAAAAAATCATTTATCTATCTTTCTTTCTCTTATCCTTTGAAATAATGAGATCTAAAAATCTAGAAATACAAAATTTAAAAAATCTAACAACTATTAAAAAAATTGAGGTTATAAAATAATAAAAAACAAGTACCAAATATAAAATTGTAAATCTTTCTGCGTTGGGATCTCATCACTTCACATTAACACTTGCATCAAATCGAGTTTTTCCATGAACTCCAACAATTCTAACACATAAACATAATTCGATTTCCGTCTTCTTCTTCTGCCCCGCTTTACAGTATTTCCGGCCCGTTGGCGATAACTGGATCTACGCTAAGCCACTTAGCCAGCGCGTTTATCAGCAAGAGAAGGAGAGCAAAAGATAATAAAGATGTCACGGCAATCAAACGCAAGGCACCGAGACCGAAACTCCGACGACAAATTAAGATAAATTGGAAGAAGAAGAAGAGCAAGACTAAAAAGATTACAAGTAAACTAGTAAAATGGTGTAAATGTATGCAAGAGCAGCTGATCTGTGTGTAAATGGCGAATTATTAAGCTGTAGCATGCATACAAGCATTCATATCAAAGAACGTGGCGACTTGAAGAGCTTACGATGACGAAGACGCCAAAGGTGGAGGAGGAGAGTGTAGCGCACACAGGAAGCTCACATCGCAGTACACTACTATAATTAACGATACTGTCATATGCTACATTTTATAGCATGTTTGCATGATGTGGTTACTTACGAACACACACGACGCAAAGGACAACGAAGAAGGATGTAAAATGCAAATAGAAATAGACAATGCTGTAAACGAAATAGACAATGCTGTGAGGTACAATATTCCTGCACCCCCCTGAAGTACTTTTGGACATTATTATAGCCACCTAGGTGCAATACGTAGATGCACCGTTATGTCTGTATGTGCACGAATGTGGTGTGGCGAGCGTGTGCGAAATGCAAAATGGTTGTATGACGGTCGAAAGAGTAACGGACGCGCGCCGTTGATATATACATACATACATACAAACAAAGATATGTGAACCTGTAGCTGTTAAGCCAATGTTGCCGAAACATATAAAAAAATCGTATTAAATAGGTTAAATGCAAATAAAATTTACAATTTACTTTATTGAAAAAAAACAACAACAAACAGATAACCAACCACAATTTAATAGCACTCGTAAGGCATTTTAAGTGAAATTGTAAAAATTAACTAAAATACACACAAACAACAGCAACAACAAAAATCTCCAATGCAATAAAACAAGCAAACGTACATATAAATACATACATACCTACATTTAGTAAAAGTGTAACGAAGCAAGTGAAAATTGAATAAAAAATAAAAATTGAAAAAATATATAAATTAAATTAACTTAAATAAAACTTACAATAAGAACAATGTGAGCAAGCGCAACTTGTTCGCGTTCATATCGCTGCTAGTACATATAATGTAATGGAAACACATACAAACATAACACGAAAAGATATGGGTTGCGTTTGAAAAACTATAAAATCTAGCATTATAGCTTGTAGACTTAAAAAAAAACACACACATACATATACATATATAGCAATTCTATTTTTCATATGTGAGTCAAAAAGTATAATAAAACGTTAGAAAATAATTGAATAATCAAAAAACATTTCACTTGATTCGCACTTTTGCTAATTTGCTGTAAATTGCGAGCAAAAAAAATTATTTACAAAACAAAAAATTATAATTTAAAAAACAAATAAAAAAAATTTATTTCAAAAAAATATATAAATATGCTATCTAAGTTGTAATAGGGCGCATTAATATTGTATATTTTATTAATGTATTCTAACCTTAAAATCGTTTAAGAAAATCATTTTTTGCTAAGCCTAAATTCGAAATATGCAACACCTGCAAGCGCATGCGCATGCAACAACTAATGTATACAATCAAATTGAATTTGTAATATACGTCACACACCTACATGCATACCTACCAATAATGGTTCTCAGCTAAACTACCGAAATTATGCCTTTCCCCACTTTACGCTTAAAGCTAAACAAACAATTTTTCATTTCTAATATGCTTAATACTCCGTAACCGTTTGCTGCCTGCACCACCAAGCAATTGCCAAGTAATTGCAAAAAAAAGACAACTTTAAACACACTTTCCTTTATGAAAAAATCGAAAATTAAAAAACAAAATTAATCTTATACTTGTGAACTTTTAATTTTTTTTTTCAAAAATCTGGCCACTCTATTATAAAAAATAGTATTTTCAAAACATCTCAAGCGTCATAAGCAGCTAAATAACAACAGCAACAACAATTATGGTATGTCATATATAATAAACATTTTAACAAAACAAGGCACACGCCCTCTCCCCCTGTTTATTACTTTATTGCATAAGAAAGCGTATATATTTTAATATCCACACATTTGCAAAAAAATTGTAAACGTATAAAATTAGTAAAAAAAATTAATAAATTCATTTATTTATACATACATACATGTTATGTATATTGATATATTCTAAGAATATCCACAAAGTTAACAAAAGTAAAAGAAAAATAAATTTAAACAACAACAAAAACATATGTAAACAATATATAAGACACCAGTAAAGGCAAATTAATCTAAAATATTGACGAACGCAATCACTAATAACGTTTGCACGTTACGTTTTGTGAAATTATTCCAACTTAACATTTTAACAAGCCTAAAAAGGCTCTAATAACCTGCTCACTAAATTCTAATACACTAAAACTCTCCTTTATGTTGTTAAAAAAATAATTTATTAATTGCAATACACTTTTCTGAAACTCAAACCAATTATGAGCATGACATTTCTTCCACTTTTTTGCACAACAACAAACAAGTAATTCACCACGCCGCTCCAAGTATCTTTACTTTAAAAGTATATATAAATAAATTAATATTTTGTAAGTGGCGGGAAATTTCGAGATCCTGCAAGGAGAAGCCTTTTTACGCGCACTCACAGTCGTGCAGAAAAGTATGAATCATAACTGTATGATAAATTTATCTAGTATACTAAAATTATTTCATACATATGTACATATGTACGTTCATAGTTACATATGTATATATATCTAGTATGTGTTAGGTAAACAATTTATAAAAATACTAAATTGAAATAATAATAATGCAATAACAATCCTATAATGTTATAAAGAAATCCACTTTTCTTTTTGTTTTTTTTCTCATTATCTACTATCTATCAAAAATTTAAAAGATAAATAAAATTGTTTGGAAAAGAATGAAAACATATTTTGTGATTGTATTTGATAGAGAGACGCCGTAAAAATATTTTAAAAAATATATGGTATATATTAATGAAATTTACAGTTTTTTTTTAAAAGCAACATTATTAAAATAAAAAAGTATTACCATATTAAAGCAAATATTAAAATTATTTTTAAAAAATATTAAAATTATTTTGAAAAATTGTTAAAATTATTTTTAAAAAATATTAATGTTATGTTTTATAATTTGCACTTCACGAAAATTCATATTTCATATATTTTAATGTATAAAACATACTGAAAAATTTCTATCATACAAATTTTAGCTTGTTTTTGCTCTTGGCATATGTAGTATAAACATTTTTTATCTAAAAATTGTTTTTAATTATAAAAATATGACAAAAACTATCGTTTTAAATGATTACTTAACGCAGTTTTTCTGCTGTTACCATCTGTTCAGTTAAAAAAATATATGATTTTTCCAAAATTTCATTTAAAAAGTTCAGAATTCAGTCAAAACTTCATATATTCTTTTTAAATCTATTTGGGACTTTGAATTGTATAATTTTTTCATATTTCAAAATAATATTGTAAAAAATTTTAAAATCAAATTTTGTTCAAAATACAAGCTTAAGAATCATAGATATATCAAGTTGCATGGTTTTTTTTTTCATATCTCAAACTAAAAATTCTAAAAAAATTAAAATCGAAAATTGTTCAAAACACAATGTTAGGAATCATGTTACTGTTTACTAAAAAAAATTCCAAAATTTCATTTACTAAGGTTGAATATCAGTTTAAAATTTTTTAATATTATAAAATTAAATATTTTTTATTTTAAAATAAATTTTTAATATCAGGAAATTTAATATTTTTTTAAATTCGTGTGCATATTTAATATTATTTATAATTTTTTTTTTATAAATTATTACATCTTAAAACAATACATTTTTTTTTTTGAATAAACGAATTGTTAAAATATATATATTTGTCGGGCTATGAACAGAGATTTTAATTAGAGCAATTTCATGCATATGCATTTCAATATTTTATTAAATCGAATATTAGCCGCAAAAAATTTCAAAATAATTTGAAATTTTTGTTTATTTAATTTGCTCAACCTGGAATCCCCAGAAGTTTCTGCGGAAAATTTTGTATTAGAATATTTCTATTTTTTCAAAGTTGTAGGTTTGTTTTCTTTAGAGATAAAAGATTTATTGCAAAAGATCAGAAAATCAAAACAATATAATCATAATACTCAGATCGTGGGTACCCGGTTGCTAAAAAACGTCGGTAAAGTTGGTTACTAACATAAGGGTTAATCCCAAAAATCCCTTATACTATATATACATAAATAAACATATTTTTAAATATTTTTAGACAGGTAAAAATAATTAAGCGCATTTAATTGCCTAATAAAACAGCGCGACTGCAATTTTTTCAAAGTCGTATAAGTAGTTTGAACATACTTACGTACATGTGTATGTATGTATATAAAAATTATTTTTGCAATGCTCCTAACTATATATACATATACATGTATATGAACGCTTACACAGAAGTAGAACAGGTTGCCGGTTGACGTCAGACATGTCTTCCCATTTCACATACAAGTATAACGACCATTCATTCAAAATGACAACGGTGTACATACATATATATGGTATATACATACATAACTCACAAAGCGATTGTCTAGTAACAAAAGTGCTGCTTAAACGTTAAAAAAAAATAATAATAAAAAATTTGGTAACTAAATACGTATTTATGGTATGCATTCCGATTATTCATTAATAAAAATAATAAATAATAATAGAGAATTGTGGCCTTATTCAAAAAGCAAACAATTCTTCTTTACTCACATTTTCGGAGCCTCGATGGCAATGACAATTGCTTCATATATGTTGAAAGGCGCGCAAGTACATACGAACCTACATATTATATATTTGCAACAAAAAAATAATAATAATAAACACCTAATTTTAGCATTGGATTCATTCATAAGCAGAAACTTATTGTGCTGGCAAGCCCAGTCTGGAGATTGCTAGCATGCCGTGAGGTTAACAGAAACGGATACATTAAAAGAAATTCAAAAAAAAAAACAACATAAAAGCACAGCTGACAATGAGTGAGTTGAAAATTTTTACAGACAGATACAATAATTCTTTTTTTTTTTATCCTCACAGACGGAATTCACCTCTTACTTCTCATCACCACCGCAATGGCCAGTTGTGACAACGTCTCCGGCCAAACATTGACTTCGCAACTGATCCAGTCTGTCGTCGGCGCACAGCCCAATGAGAATGTGATTGTGTCGCCAATTTCCATAGAGACGTGTTTAGCGCTAGCCTACCTGGGTGCTGAAGGGCAAACGGCTGAGGAATTGGCGATCAGTCTGGCACTAAAACACGCCGGCGATAAGCAAAGTGTTGCACAGAAGTTCGGTAGACTCTTTGAGAAGACCAAATCTGTGGGTAGCGCAACATTCCGTTTAGCTAATCGCATTTACCTGGATCAACGTTTTCAAATTTCCACCAAATACAATGAACTCGCCCTTAATCAAATGCACGCCAACGCCGAGACTGTTCGCTTTGCTGACGCAGCTGCAACAGCGGCGACAATTAATAGCTGGGTGGAATCTGAAACTGATAATAAAATACGTGGTCTAATTGCTGGCAACAGCTTGGATGGCAATACGGCGCTGGTGCTGGTGAATGCGCTCTACTTCAAGGCGAAGTGGTTGCACCAATTCAGCAATCATTCGACCACGAAGCGCGATTTCCACGTGAGTGCTGAGCGCAAGTTGGAAGTGGATATGATGAAGCAGACGGATACATTTTTGTATGGCAACTTCAAGGAGCTGGATGCCACCGCTGTTGAATTGAGTTACTTGGATACAGACGTTTCAATGTTGGTGTTGCTACCGAAGAGTGTTGTCGGTTTGGCGGCGTTGGAAACGAAATTGAAGAGTGTTGATTTGACAAAGTTGTCGGCGGCGATGCGCACCGAAGAGGTTAACATACACCTGCCGAAATTTAAATTTGAATTCGATCTGGCGCTGAAGCCGGTGTTGGCGCAGGTGAGCGTATAACTAGAATAATTTATGGTATAAGAAAGTTGTATTTTCTATTCTATCCACTAGTTGGGCGTTACCACTATGTTCAGTGATAAAGCTGATTTTAGCAGCATGCTGGCAGAGAAGGAAAAAGTGTCCGTTTCCCAAGCTCAGCATAAAGCTTTTATCGAGGTTAACGAATCGGGCACTGAGGCCGCAGCAGCTACATGTGAGTGCAAAGTTTTGTTATATGAACTAAAAATATTTACTAAAAGTATGTACTTTTATTTATTTCCTCACTTCAACTGCAGATTTGAAAATTGTACCGTTATCAGCTACATTTGCACAACAAACATATCAGTTCGTCGCCGATCATCCATTCGTATTTGCAATTAAAGATAATGAAAATGTCTATTTTGTTGGTCATGTCACACATTTGTAATTATAATTGTTGTTATTCACAACAAACATGTGTAAATATTTACATAGGTATTAAACAAACAGCAAAGAATGAGTTTACTCTTATAAATATACCATGACGATACAGATTTTACAACAGCATATTCATTTGAGCAGTTTCATTAAATTTTGTAATTTTGTTGAACACGCAAGAGATTGAAAAAAGGTATAAGCAATTATTGCTATGGATTTTAAAGGAATATAAACATATAAGAAAATAATAAATTAAAATATAATATATTCATACACTATGACGTTTTAATTAGAAAATGATAAGTATGTACAATAACCATACTGGTATTTGTAGACTTTGGGAATTGTAAGTACTATTTTTCACAGTGTAGGTAAACAAAATAGTAACCAATAATATTGCCACTATTAAACTGTTATTATTCAATAATAGTAAAAATTAAAATTTCAAAAGCAAAATTATGGTTAATGTTTAATTAAACTCATTTTAATTAATCCTAAAATTGTAGCACATATAAAAAAATTCTGCATAAAAACTACACATGAATAGTAGATTAAAAAAATAAGCAAAACGAATGTCTTTCATGTATTGTTTTTGAATTAAGTGGCAACCAAACGCAACCGTTCTCACCGTTCTCTACACACTTCGTCTTTGACGTTACATCAGCAACAAAAACAATAAGCAAGCAAAGCACAAATAAATGAGATACCTGTGTCGGGAGAGACGCAAAACGTAAATTTTATTTGTTATTCGGTTGTCATTAAAAATTGACGCATACGGTTGAAATTAATTGCAAGTAAAACAATTGCAAAATAATTGGTTTAGGTGATGAACAATATACATATAATGTAGCCGCGTTAACTAAACAAGTTTCTGGGCACAGACGCAGTTTCAAGTAAAAAAGTGTGCAAGCGAAAAAAAGCGAACGAAAAAATAGAGTGGGCGATTAATGGTTAAATAAGCAAGTGATATTAGATATGGATGAAGAACACCAAGTAACACGCAAATGCTATCCATATCAATTGCTACGCAACGTGCATAAATGTCTGCCACTGCCGAAAACAAATGCTACAGCAGAACCCAGCGTCACTTCATATACGAAAGGGGACTTTTCCTACTTTCACTATAATTGTGACGGTTTCAAGGACATTGGTTGGGGTTGTGCCTATCGTACGCTACAATCCATATGCTCTTGGATAGCTGGAAAACGTGGTGCTACGGATGTAGATGTACTGGTGCCATCAATAAAAGAAATTCAACAAACACTTGTGAAGATCGGTGACAAAACAAATGATTTTTTTGGCTCACATGATTGGATTGGAGCCATTGAGGTGTTCTACTTTTTGGATACACTCTATGATGTTGTGTGCCGTATCATTCATATTGCAAGCCATGAGGATCTAAAGAAATACGCAAATGTATTGAAGAAATATTTTGAAGATTATGGTGGTTTAATTATGATGGGTGGTGATATGGACTCTGGATCGAAGGGCATTGCAGGAGTTCATATAAGCGGCAATCAAGTTTATTTTCTAGTCATTGTAAGTAATGAAGTTAGTTATTATTTGTTTTTACTTTTTTGTAGAGTTCTAAGCAAATTGCATTTTTGTTAAAAGTTTTTGAATCTTTTATAAAAGAAAAGTTTATGACCTGTGACTAGTTAACAGGTGGTGGTGATCGTTGTATGGTTGCCAACTTTTGAAATTAAATTGTTTAACAACAAACTGTGCCTTTTGGCCAGTTCGTTGGATACGCAACAATTCATGTGTAAAATACTTGCGCAACAGCATACACATATTACAATTAAGCGGCATAAATAATTACGTTAGGTCAAAGTCAACGTTTATTACCTCAAGTTGGTTTTTTATAAAAGGTTATTTTATTTAATTATATAGTAAAGCTCACCAGCAAATTTTACAAATCCATTACTTTGAAGTATATATTAAACATACATGTGCTAACCATATTTTTAACGTTTTTTTTTTTATTTATATTTTCTTTCACTTACAGGATCCCCACTTTATCGGCGTGCCCAAATCTGTGCAAGAACTAGTTGAACGCGGCTACATACGTTGGCAGCACACCTCGGAATTTGTTGATAGTTCCTTCTATAACATTTGTTTACCTCAACTTAAATAAGACCAAAAAACAAGATGCCAAAACATAAAACACCTGGACAATACATATAATTGTATTATTCATTTGTTAAATGTCCATACAAAAAAAAAAAAAAACTGTTGCAATAGTATTACTTAATAAAATTTAAATTGCTTTCATTACAGAGATACCAAAAACGTTAAATAAATTAAAATACATATATAATTATTTTCAAACAAAACAAACCTCTTTGGACTTTTGCTTTTGGAAGGAACTATCAACGAGTTACTATTTTTTTATCACATATTAAATGTTTATACTTATTTTTACATGCGACACTCAGACATATCGGCACTCTACTGTTGTTAAATGAGCGATAGCCACTGATAACGCATCAACTTATAAAATAATCCGAAATTGGTAAAATATGCCTGCGATAAGCACTTGTCGCCGCTCCGTAACACACGCTTGCTGACTACACCAGCTTGCGTGCCGCGGAGTAAACCTGGCCAATACCTATAAACAAAAAAGACAATTCGTCATGTGAACGTTTAATCAACAACTAACGCTTAAGTATCTAATAGCCAACAACGTATAAAATCCACTAGGTGTACATACTATAATATTACTTTCGAAATAAGATGGAATTGCTGCAACGCTTGCTGTACACCGCCTTAAGTGCTGCCTCAATTATATATTTCATAGTCAAAGCGAGCCTCTCGCATTGGAAGCGGCGCGGTATATTACACGAGAAGCCGAGATTCTTAGTTGGTAATTTGGGTGGCGTTGGTGGCAAACGCCATATTAGCGCTGTGCTGGAGCAACTTTACGAAAAGTACAAAGGTCAAGCACCCTTCATAGGTTGTTATGCATATTTGAAACCAATGGTTTTAATATTGGATTTAGATTTGGTGCGAAATGTGCTCATAACACATTCTGAATACTTCAAGGAGCGCGGCGTATTCGGTAATGCGCTACATGATCCACTCTCAGCAAATTTGCTCCAACAAGATGGTTCAGATTGGCAACGTCTAAATACGGTGGTGTGCCCAGCTTTCGCGCAAGATAATATCTCACAGATGCTACCAACGTTGGAGAAGGCCGCAAGCACAATGCATCGCTCTTTGACTCAAGCGGCGGAAGATAATGCAGTGCCCATAAATAATTTGGTGGATTGTTATAACATTGATGTCATTTCTACACTGGCGTTTGGCATTAGTGGGGAAACGTTGCTCAATTCCGATACAGAATTCCGTCGTATGGCGCGTAGCTACCTCAAAGACTTCAACATGTTTCGTCTATATTTTCTTATGTATTTTCCGAATCTTGCTCGCTTGTTACGCTACAAAAACTACGAACAAGCTGCAACCGATTATTTTCTTAAGATAGTGCGCCAGAAACTCTTCGAACAGGAGTGGAGTCGCTTAGATAAACGGAATAGTTTCTTTCACATGTTTGCTGAGTTGAAACGAGATCGCGACCCAAAAAGACGATTAAGTGACGAAGAAATAGCAGCACAGGCATTTTCCTTTATCCTTATGGGATTGGAAACATGCAACTCGGCGATGACATTTTGCTTGTATGAATTGGCGCTGCAGCCGGATTTGCAGCGTCGTGTACAGGCAGAAATATGCAATGTGCTCAAGCGCAATGAAAATGGTATGGATAGTAAAAATTTGAACGATATGAATTTGCTGAGACAATGTTTGAACGGTAAGCAATGGCTATTCTTAGATAATATTTATTCATATATAAAAATATGACATTTAATATAGCACATGCGTATCTATAAATTTAGTTAAGAAATTTAATAATTCTTCCACTTCTTTCCAGAAACTTTACGCAAGCATACACCTTACGCTTTCTTATTACGCAATACGAATGAGGATTACGAAGTGCCTAATTCTATATTCATGCTGCGTACAGACAATCATCTAGTCATCCCAACAGCGGCAATACACCGTGATCCAGTGCTTTATCCCGAGCCAAATAAATTCGATCCGGAACGTTTTAGTGAGGAAAATATTAAGCTACGCCATCCAATGGCTTTCTTACCCTACGGTGCCGGCCCCCGTTACTGCCTAGCGCAAGAATTTGCCGAAAAGCAAATACTGGTTGGGCTCGCAACACTGCTACGTTATTACAGTTTCAGTCCATGCCGCGAAACACCCATTCCACTGGTGTACGATAGCAAGCGTTTGGTGCTTACACCAAAAGGCAAATTGATTTTAAAAGTTCAGCGTGTGTGAGAAGCCAACAAATGCGGTTTAGAAAAAATGAAAGTAATATAAAGGAAACATATTTAGACATTCTGATGGTACAATTTATAGTTGTGTACAAAATTGGAAAAAAATTTTTAATTTTCTTCTTAAATTAACTTAACTTACTATATATAATTATTCCACCTAATTGTGTTTAAGATGTAGTTTATTGTTTTTAAGCTATAGTTTTCCTTATGACTTGTATTGCAGTGTACAAATACTTTCCAAACCACTGACCTCTATTTATGCCTATTGATTTCTAGGGTACGGTATTTTTTAGATTTCTATTTGACATTCAGTCAGTACACTTAAATACTTAAGTAATTTTACAAAACGAAATAATATCCACAGACCCGGGAAAAATGTTTGCTGCTTGTGATGTGTATTTAAGCTATTCTCTATATATTTACGAAATACTTTTTTGTTATTTGTTCAACACAAATCAGTTTATTATATGGAAGACACGATCAAAAATATATGTTAAAGCTATAAAATAACAATATGACTTTATTTTAAATGAAAGGTGAGGGTGACATGATAAGTGATAAATTTTACTTATGTTTTATTACTAGTGTCTCGTGAATTAATCACTCTTTTATTTTTACGAATACTTCGTTAGCAAAACACTCATTTAAAAGAATAATTAAAAATTATTTTATTAATTAAGCACTTCCTGTTCCCAATTTTAACATAGGAACTTTCCGATATTGTGGCAGCACTGAATAAAGCGTTCCAACTCCACTTTGGTTTAAATGCCAAAAATGCTGGTTGCCACATTGATAAATAAGAAAACTTATATGTGAATATATTTACAGCACAATTTCTTATTTTAAAAGTTAATGTTTATAGCAGTAGAATTATTATTGCTATAATAATATTATTACTGATTTCTTATGCACTAATTACTTTGCATTTATTAGTTCTGTTAATAATCCCTTGTCACTACTTCCAGAGAATGTATTGTAAATGAATATAATTCATTTACGTTCTCTGCTGCTACTTCTGTTCCATTGATACTAAAAATGCAACCATGTCAGGCGTCCAATAAGAATTTGTCAATTGTGTTTTCAATTTTCTGGCCGCTTTTTATTCGTAAAATGGCAGCTGTGCGCGCTCGTTGTATTCGCGATTCCGTTACCCGTTGAATTTTTTCTTTGCGTTACGAATGGTAGACATAAAGTGAACTGAAAAAGTAAAGGTGTTTAATTCTATTATAAATATAAAAATTGAATTATTAAGCGATAAAAAGTATTTAATAAATAGTAGAAAGTCCACTCTATTAGCAAAGTGATCAAAATGGAATATTGATATATTTTGCAGTGTAAAAACAAGAGTTGAAGACGCCAATTGTTCCGCGAGTTTTCCTGCAAAGGATATAGTGAAATATTGATATGGGGAATGTGTTGTCTGAAAAAGTTTGGAAGTAATGAATTACAACAGTTTTTTCTGACTAAAAAACAAAAGTTTTCAAAAGTGTTTTGATTTTATTAATGTTTTGAAACGAGATAAAATAGTGCAAAGTATTAAAAGTTGCACTGTTTTATTACCTGTTGGAAGGAATTATGTTTACCGGATTAACTTCCTAATTTTATATCAGACGGTTTGATACATACACATATATACTTATCCCTTCGCTTCAAAGGACGAGATATTTCGGTATTATTATATATGAAATGTGCGTACATGTGTGTTCCATAAAGAGTGTAACACTAACGACATGTAACAACGGATTCGCCGAAACAATCAAACAATTGGTACCGAACAGGACAAGAAAAACATAATCAGGTAAATACAAAGTACTGAAATTTAATCGACTTTCTAATAAGCTGAGTTGTAAAAACCAATTTGTTTTTGTTTAACCTTTTAATAAAGTGTATTATGTTTGTAAAACATTGGTCATCGAAAAATTTGTTAGTTTCCTATTTTGTGGGAAGTTGCCTTTCCTTCCTATCCATATTAGTTAGTTTTGGGGTGAAAGCAAGAATGATAGATTCATCCGGCAACCCTATAACGGAGTTACACCCCCAATTTGGGATTGTGTCTGTGCACCTTTTGTATACATATTTGTTTATTGTCTGGAAGTTCATAGCAACTCCATTTGTCGTTCCATATAATTGCACTTTTCAATTCCTGTATGCGCAAGTGCACTTGAAAAACTTATTCTCTGTATGTGTACTATCTATCGTTCACCCTTATCTGGATGTGGTTGTACAGAAGTATGTCCTTTGATTTGTCTCTCGGCCAGAGGGTCCATTATATTTGAATCAAGAAGACTTGTTTCACGGTTAACTGGTCGTATTCCTATTTTTTATGCTATCTAATTATTTTAATTTTAAATTAATTAAGAATTAATAATAAATATTATACTAATTAAAGTTTATACATGCCAAAAAATTGTTTTCACAAAATTTGAAATTTTTCTTTTTTAATATAGAAAATTCGGAGTTTGCAATATGTTAAAGTTAAAATTACTTTATATGATTCTCCGAAACAAAAATTTACGACAAACTTTCGTCTACTTAAAGAGTTCATTGCCTACAACATTTTGTTTGCGTTCAACAAATACTTTCATATTGATTATGATTGCGTAAATAAATAAAATTTTGCGCCGGTCTGTCCCTTTGAATATTACAGTATTTCTACAAGCGTTCGAATACACATATTAAAGCGTGGACTCTAAATTTAGATATTTATCCCTAGTTGGGAGTTCGGCCCTCTATAGAACCAGCGTTGGCTTTTGCCACACTTAAATATTTAGATATCTTGAACTTTCGCATATCACACAAACATATTCATAAAACTATTTTTTATTAAAGTATTATACTAATTGCTTTGACATTACATTACTTGTTTTCGAGTACTAATTAGTTCGTGCTTTCATCGATTTCTAGTAGGATATTCTTTTTATCAAAACACTAGTTGGATGCAGTTATACAATACATACATACATACCCTTTTTAATTTAATTTTCTGTTATGCAAATTGGTTGAATATATGTAGGTATGTAAATATTGGCAGCGGCTTTTGCGCGCAGACCTGTTCGCGCCCATCTATATAATGTACAATCGCCCATGCTGGCCAATACTTGTCTCTTAATTTATTTGCATTCACACGTTTTGCTTCGGCCTCTTATCTCTTTACTGAGTTTTTTGTTTTTATTTGTATTCTATTTTTATGTTTTTATATATTTTGCGAGTAGGCCACTTTGACTTGACAAGTGTGGGTCGATATGTGCGAATGTTGCACATACTTGTACAAATATGTATAAACATATGTACGTAGGAAGACATGTTGTATAATAAATTGTTTTATTGTTTTTTATTTTCTATTTCCAGCATTGATAGTTTCGCATGTTTTTTGTGTAAGCATGTAGTATGTAGGTGTTTGTCTTATGAGGTTTCGACATAATGTTAGAAGAACAAACAACATTTGTAAATATGTACGTATTTATGTATGTCTGTATGTTATAAAACTGTAAATCTGTAAAGGTGATAGTGAACATATACAAAGGTATACATAATTATAATAAAATTCTACGTAATTTATTATATATTCTGATAAAGACACATGTGCATAACAAATTTCAAGGCATCATACAAATTGCAAGCAATAACGTCATAACTATAAAGTTTTATAAACAATCAATTTTTCAATCTTGATATATCTATATAATATTTACATGCTTAAATGTGTGGTTAATATTGGTTACCCTGTTAAACTGGCTGGCAACAATGTACTTATTTATTGTGTGGTGCTGAAAGTCAAAATAATCTTTTAATACGTATATTATAAATTTTAATGAGAAAAATATTTCCGTATCATCCCATATATTAAAAATACAAAATAAAAAAAATAAACAAATAAATAATGATGTAAGAACATGCAATCAAAAAACTTTGTACTCTTACGCAACGTGTTGCGAGAGAAGAAAAATATGTGAATAAATTGTTTACTTTCTGAAAATCTATTTTTCTTGATCTTTCTTAACAGGCGCAAATGTTTGTGTGCTAAATTTACCGTATTTTGGTATTTAGTGCAACAATACATTAAAGGAATAAAATAATTCTTTGATTGGACTGAAGCCGCCTTTGAAGCAGAAGAAATACCATACCCAATTGCTAGTGCACACCTAAATCAAGTACAAATATGTTACAAAGTATTATAAAACAGAATTAGAAAACAGTTGGTTACTGGTGTCGATGGCGATGATGGTTTGGACTGTGAAAGCAGTAGTGGTACATTCGCATGAATAATATAATACATGAGTGCACAAGACAAACCGGTACCAATGCATCTAAGCAGCTGTGCACGCCGTGGCGATCAGCGCAGTCCAACAAATATTTAGCTTACTGAATGATTACCCAATCGATAAGTTAACTTTTCAATATTTGCATTGCATTAATTGCCTAGAAAAGTTTTGAAAGACCTCAATAAAAGTATTTCGTTTCAAATTAGAAAATAAATCTAATTGATTTTAAGGTTATAATATAATTGTACTCCTATTTAGTTATTATTTACTTATATCCAGCAGTTACCATGTGAATAAGCGCTGAGTTGTGTTGTGAAATCACAGATAATTTGTTTCTTTATTTTCATCATCTCATTTTGCCAAAAGTAGCTGTACGTGCTATGATTTGTTTCCCCTCTTGCTCCGCTGATTTTCGATTAATTTTCTGTTTATATAACATATACATATCTATATATAACATTTACGTACATATATATGTATATGCATATATGTGTGTGCTTTTGGTTTTGCGTGGGTGGATATGCGATTTGTTTGGTGTTTATTAAAATGTGCTTGGCCGGCTTCTGGCGTGTGTTGTTTTTTCGCAGCGCCTATGTTTTGCTCCACTTGTACGATTCGCTAGATAATTTTCTCCTAGATCGCGTTTATTTATAATAAAAGAAAGAAATCTGGCAGGTGTGAAAATTTTATCAACAAATGTTGTGCAAATACTGACTCAATGAAATTGCTTTCCAAGTTCTTTCTACGTCAATACTTTTGTCGGAATTATAGTTTTTTGATTTTTTATTTGAAAAGTTGGCAAGTGGTTTGTTGTAATTTGTCTGGCGTGTGGTCTATTTACAGTTATTTACATTATTTTTTCCATGTGTTTTTATGTAAATCCGGCTTTATGAAAGTGTGAAAATTTGGTTCTCCAATTTTTAAAATTTTTTACACTAATAACTTTTTTTTTTTAATGTTTTGCGCTTTTGTATGATAGCCATTAAACTGCAATAAAATGTATGTAATATTATTACTGCACTGTGAATTTTCTGCCTTTTGAAATGGAGTAGACATATTGGTCATCGAAAAATATTGGATTTTCCAAAATTACACTGATTTTTTATACATTTGCCACGTCTGTTTTTTGATAAATTATATTATATTTAAATTGTCTCATATAGGTAGGGACGTAACTAATTCCGAAAACCCTAATTTATTTCCGCTAACTTAGACCTAAATATTGGCGGAACGCTGCAGGGAAATTACGTAAAGTTTTCAAAAAGAACTCTTAAGTTTTAAAATGTAAAATTAAAATAAAAAACAAGAAAGTTAACTTCAGCCACCTAAGCTATAATACTTTTCATAAATACACAAGTTTATATATTAGAACTTGATTTTGATCGGTTAGTGTGTATGGCGGCTATATGCTACAGTGTTCCGATCTTTGAAATTTGTGCGGATATTTCACCTATTTTTTTGACAATGATGCATCTAAAATTTCAAAGATAGAAAGGATCAGATTGATATCTCAGAAACTGTGGAACTAGCTCGCGTATATACAGACGGACATGGCTAAATCGACTCAGCACGTCGTGCTACTCATTTATATATACATTTTATAAGGTCTCCGACTTTTTCTTCTGGGTGTTACAAATTTAATATACCCTGTTCAGGGTATAACAATTAACAATTTTTGAAAAAAAAAAACTATTTGCTTTCTCTGTGTTTCGAAAATAGGCAAAAAATATGCACCCACAGCTCTTGATGCTGAAATTTTATTGGGCAAACGACAATTTGACACGCAATTTATCACAGAGTTAACATATGGCCCACACACTCTTTTCACCGCCGAAGAGACAGCGTTATTTGCGATTAGTGGGAGTTCGAAGTATGGCAATATTAATTTAGTGTTAATTAAAACGCTGCAGGAATCCAATATCGAAATTTTCGAAATTGGGCGTATTTGATTCCAAACACTTATTAATTGATATAATCGTATACATATCTATGTACATATGTATATGTATTCTATGTACATGCCTACTTTGCTGTGATTTTATATATGCATATATTTATCTGTAATATGGTAAAACAATTTCATTAATATTTCACTATTTTCTATGCATGGATTTAATAATTTTCATTTATCACACAAAACTAATTACCTTAAATTGCATTGCGATAAGATAAAGCGATTGTTGTAATTTTATACAAACAGTGCAACACACTTATCACTTCGACTGATCGATCGATCACTTGCAGATAGTTGCCGCACACACTGATTGCCGCTGTCTGCTGGAAACTTTATCGTTGAACTCTATTTTTTTTGTACTGGAAATCAATACCTGCGTTCACAATGCATTTGCTGTTGCTTGCCTCTTATGTTGTTGTGTTTGCTGTTGTTATAGATAATGGTACATTTCCATTGAACTCCATTTAACTCACACAAAACTATCGATAAGATAGTGTAATTTGATGCCAATAACGGAAAACACCAACCAACGTTATATTTCCACTATTAGGAATATAATTAGAGGCATATATACATACATATGTACATATTAGGTGTGTTTGCTTGAAAAGGTGTCAAAATGACCGAAATGTGTTAATTTCGTAAAGAAATATAAATTTCAACTATTGCATTTCAAAATTAAAAAAAAATATTATGTAATATAAAAAAGCGATAAGATATGCTTTTCTGATTTTCAATATTGATAAGTTAAAAAATGTGGCGGGTTTTGTTTGTACATGTAAGGCAGTGAAGCCTCAGACCACCTATGTATGCAAGGAAATCGATATCGATATTTTTTGTATATGGTTTACGAAGTTTTCTACTCTAATATTGATTTCTAACATTAGATTTTGGTGTGAGTTTTTCGAACTTCTCTGTTGTTAGAGATTCTGTTGACATTGAATGTTAAATTAACAAGATCAATTATCAGAGAATCCTTTTAGCTTAGGATGCGTGAGGCTGTTCTTCAATTTAACTACCAACATATGTACGCCTGAAGTGATCTTTTAAGTAAATGCATGTTTTTGGAAACTATCAAACAGTTGTTTTTGAATTCTTTTCAGTTACATAGACAATATGTTGGTGGGTACGGTAAAATTGCGAAACTGAAACTGAAATTTTTACAAAATTTTAAAATGGTCTTTAGTTTTCTAGAAATATTACTGTTGTTGTTGTTGTTATGCTCTAAATTCACTCGAGAACTTTTTTAACCCATAAATCATTTGATACTTAATATTTCTTAAGATTTCGCATTCAGAACTGCAATGTGTCATTATTTGCAGAATATCTACTCGGTCAACAAGGGACTTTAGACCAATATAAAATGTCCCATTGAGCCACACTCAAATCAAAACCCTACCTTTCTTGAGCCTTCCGTTAGTTGTTTTTGCCGAGAACTGCACTCGGCGGAATATTGACAATTCGGCTCGGTTTAAATCTAATCAAAGTGTTGTTATCGAAGTAGTATGCTTCTAAATTATTAAATCGAGTGTTAGGGCTCTACGGTTCCACAACAGCCGGTTCAACGCTGCCGCAATTGACCCGTATTTTATCAGGCCAAGGCTTGTCATTTCGGCGATCTAACCCTGTTTGTTCGGTCAGTTTTTTAACAACAGTCGATTCTACTTTTTTTGATTACAAAGAATTTTATCCGGTAAACGCTAAAACTTCAAACTCATCCTGTTATTTATGTTCTTAACATCACCTCTATTGGAGGATGACCAATTTAATTTGAAATAAAATAAGAAATTATCCAACGGAAGTCTGCGGCAGGCAGCAAAGGCAATTTCCCAACCCAGCTGACACAGAGAAGTGCTGTTACTTCTAGCATTCGTATACACACATACACAAACATTAAACGCTTTAAGGAATAGTGTAATTTTCTGTACAATTTGTTAAAACAACAAAACAAAACCAGTAACGAACCGTTGAGTTCGGTTTCGTGAGAAATAAAGGCTGGTAAGGCTGGTTAGTCTAGCTGCCGCTAGCATCCTTTCGAGCTGTTTGGCTTTCACAAACAAAAAAATTAGCTTATTTTCTTTTATGTTGCGAGCGTGTTGCGCCAAGGAAATGCGAGACACACCGCTAGACAAACTTTGGGCTTGCCACCGATATACATACATAAATACGTACATATGTGCGAGTATATACATACATATGTACATAAGTATATAGTGTGCTCGCACAAGAATTTCTTGTTTGCTCCACTTCTGCACAATCTGGTTGTGGCTTGTTGTATAAAATAAATATTTTAATAACAATGGCCACCAAACAGCTTTGGAAAAGTGTAAGGAATAAAAAGAACTACATATCATGCAAATACCGTGGTGCAATAAACTCGCAGTTTAAGTTCCTCTGTGGATACATAGATACTACTACCTAAGTTTGGGCGTATATATGTTTGTATAAATATAAAGTTTGCATAAATAAACTGTGGAAATAGTTAAAGCAGGCCATTGCAATTTATAGACGTCTGTACAAGATTAAAGTTCGATACACTGTGGCTCCGTTCATAGGCGGTTGCAATGATACTCAGTTTTATGTACTATGTATATGCAATTATCTGATCTATACTGCAATGTTTCAACAATTATATATATTGTAATATGTATGTATGAGTAATTTTCATCAGGTGTGCTACATAACCTAAAAATATTCAAGTTTCTAACGGAAAAGTTCAACAAAGCGCAATTTTTTCAATGTTTCGGCAAATATGAGATGATTATAGATCGCTGAAAAACTTAACTATTTTTTTTGCTTCCAGCTTTTTTACCACTCACTTCAGTCACCAACTTCCGAGGTTCGTTGTTTGATATTACATGATTTTATAAAAATATACAACCTTATGTTTTCTTAATACTCTTTGTTATTGTTGTTGTAGCACAATTTTCCTCAGAATTTCGTGGAATGTTTTAATCGTTTTCACTTCGGTATATACTGTTATTGGAGGTTATATCTCATTAGATGTGCAGTATATGCAGCTGTGTTCATGAAAATAGTAGTTCCTGGTAAAAACACAAACTATGAATTGAATACCTTTAATATGTAATTTTTAGCTATTTATACCTACATACACAGTTTTATTTTTTCAATATATACATACATATGTATTTTTTACTAACAAAATTTATTTAAAAACCTAAAAATTAGTCTGTTCACGAAAATAGTAGTGCCAATTCT